TTTTGTTTATTATTGTATGTTTAGGTTTATTGTTTTTCTTAGAAATCACAAGTTGTTAGGTTTTTCCGCATTCGTAGAGATCCTAAACATTATTTCTTTTGATTAAAACTGAAAAATGTGATTATAGAATCTTTATTCAGTTGAGAGAATTCGATTTACACATCTCTTATAAAACAAACTTAGTACAAATCGAAGCATTAAGTGTATTTCAGTATTCTCATATATTATTTTTTGATTCTTCATTTTGTTTCTAGTAATAAATTTGTATTACATCATTGATCCAGTCGCATCTTTTATACGAAAAAACTTTTACTATGCAAAGCATTTTTAAAACTTTGATTTCATAAAAGAAATTTTTTTTAAAACGATCTTTTGGGAATGGTTTATTCAACCTCCCCCCTCCCTCAAGACCATTCGAACCTATATTCTCCCTAACATCTATCACATACAATAATATAATCTCGTATTCCACCTAAAACTTCAGGTTTGTGGTCAATTTCAGTATCAGAGTATGGTTTCCTATGTGGTTTAAGCATTACTTACATATTATTTACTGGTGACAAATTAACATCCATCTGAATCACATGTTTGATGGATGTTACTCCTTCAGATATTGATACATTTGTTGCAACTGACTACTTCAACATTAACTGCTCATCAAAAACAACATGTCTTTTTATTATCATCTTCTTTTTAATTGGATCTTATAATTTAAATCCTTTCACACCTTTTGCATAACCGGCGAAGCCACACTTCTTCAAATTTGGATCAAGTTTGGATCGATCTTCACTGGATATATGCACATAAGTTGGACACCCAAAAATCCTTAAATTGCCAAGATTAATAGGATTACTTTTCCATACCTCCTCTGCAACCTTCCCATTCGATGAAGCCTATGGTGACCTATTGATAAAATGACACGTCATGTTAACTACCTTTGCCTAAAAACCTTTTGATAGTCCTGCATTTAACAAGAGACGTCTTGCCCTTTCAATTAGAGACCTAGTCATTCTCTTTATCACACCATTTTGTCGTGGTGTTTTGCGAACTAAGAAATTTCTTTGAATACTATGTTATTCACGAAACCTCTTGAATTTCAAATTAGTGTACTATGTCCCACTATCTAACCATAAATACTTAATGTTTCTTCTTATTTGATTCTCTACCTATGTCTTCCACAACTTGAATTTGGTAAAGACTTCATATTTCTTCTTCAAGAAATACACTAAAACCTTACAAGAAAAATAATTTGTGAAAGTCAGAAAACACCTGAAACCACCCTTTGAAACCTCTTTGGTAGGGCCTCACACATTTGAATGCACATAGTCTAAAATTCCCTTTGTTTTGTGCTTTTCAGTCTTGAACCGAACACGACATTGTTTCCCAAGTATACAATACTTTCTTAATTTCTTCTTGCAACTATATAAACTCTTCAATAGATTATTCTTATGAGGTTTCATCATCCCACGCTCACTAAGATGACCCATACCTATATGCCAGAGTTTAGTTGCATCATTATCACACTCAACAGATGCAACGACACCTATATCAGTGTTCCCCAATAGTTTGTAGATGTTAACTGAAATCTTTTTTGCTCTCATAACAATCAATGCACCCTTGATAACCTTCACAATATCTTTATCTCCATTAGACTTGTAGGAGAAACCATTTATTTGTCAAGTACCTAGGGAAATCAAGTTATTCCTTAATTCTAGAATACATTTGACTTCTTACAATGTTCGAACACTAACATCGTCCATGGAAATTTTAATTTGTCTCATTCTAGTAATAGTACATGCTTTATCATCACCTAGATAAACAACCAGAGTCAAGAATCCATGCATTTGTGCACTTGTTGGATGGAACACATTGTATATCTGCTTCACTACCAAAATCATCGGTTTGAACCACATTTGCAGAATGGATGAGTCTTGCTTTCTATTTCGACAATCTCTCTTCTAATGTCTAATTTATTTGCAGCTATAACACTCAGTTATTTTTCGATTTCTGAATTTAGACCTCTTTTTTCCATAACCTTCATTACCCTTATTTCACCCACGGTCTTGACTCTCTTTCACATACAAATCGCCACCTTGAGTTCATTTCTTTACACTTTGTCTCCTTTGAGAATGAGACAAAAGTTTAATAGTAATCACATCAAGACTAATAGTTTCTTTCCCATAGATACAAGTAGTCACCAAGTGGTTATAAAAACCTTGTAACGAGTAGAGCAAGATAATTGTCTTATCTTCTTCATTAATCTTCACCTAAAGCTTCACTAGATCGGTGATTATGTTATTAAAGACATTGACATGTTGCAAATTAGATCCTTCCTACATCTTTAGACTATAAAGTCGTTGTTTCGCCAACAATTTGTTCATCGGCGTCTTTGACATATATTGACTCTCCGATTTGTCTTAAACCTCCTACGACATCGTCAAGTCCAGGATATGATACATCTCCTCGTCTGAAACACATAGGTGAATCAATCTCGCAATATTATCTTTCATCTATGCCTAATTAGTATCCTCCATGTCGTTCGATTTTGTCTCGCACAAAGCTTTCTGTAAACTATGATGAGTCAACTAATCCTTGACCCTTATTTGCCATAATTCAAAATTATATGTCCCGCCAAACCTTAATTCTAGAATACATTTGACTTCTTACAATGTTTGAAAGCCAACATCGTCCATGGCAATTTTAATTTGTCTCATTCTAGTAATAGTACATGTTTTATCATCACCTAGATAAACAACCAGAGTCAAGAATCCATGCATTTGTGCACTTGTTGGATGGAACACATTGTATATCTGCTTCACTACCTAAATCATCGGTTTGAACCACATTTGCAGAACGGATGAGTCTTGCTTTTTATTTCGGCAATCTCTCTTCTAATGTCTAATTTATTTGCAGCTATAACACTCAGTTGTTTTTCGATTTCTGAATTTATACCTCTTTTTCCATAACCTTCATTACCCTTATTTCACCCACGGTCTTGACTCTCTTTCACATACAAATCGCCACCTTGAGTTTATTTCTTTACACTTTGTCTCCTTTGAGAATGAGACAAAAGTTTAATAGTAATCACATCAAGACTAATAGTTTCTTTCCCATAGATAAAAGTAGTCACCAAGTGGTTATAAAAACCTTGTAATGAGTAGAGCAAGATAATTGTCTTATCTTCTTCATCAATCTTCACCTAAAGCTTCACCAGATCGGTGATTATGTTATTAAAGACATTGACATGTTACAAATTAGATCCTTCCTACATCTTTAGACTATAAAGTCGTTGTTTCGCGAACAATTTATTCATCAGCGTCTTTGACATATATTGACTCTCCGATTTGTCTTTAAACCTCCTACGACATCGTCAAGTCCAGGATATGATACATCTCCTCGTCTGAAACACATAGGTGAATCAATCTCTCAATATTATCTTTCATCTATGCCTAATTAGTATCCTCCATGTCGTTCGATTTTGTCTCGCACAACGCTTTCTGTAAACTTTGATGAGTCAACTAATCCTTGACCCTCATTTGCCATAATTCGAAATTATATGTCCCGCCAAACCTCGTTACCTCGAATTTTGCATCATAGTTAATCAACGTCTGATAGTAAATATTAGAACAACAACCAATAAGAGAAACGAATGTAAAAGACAATGAACACAATTGATCTTTGTTAACGCAGTTCAGCCAATGATGTCTACCTTTGCAACTATAGAGCAACTATAATTCCCTTGATTTGTATCTTATGAATTAGGGTCATATATATACGATAGTAAGGTTTAGTTTACAATAATAACTTTAAACCTAAACCTTAATCCTCAGTTACCCACAACAAACTGTTTAACCTAAGACCCGTTTGAAATTTACACATAATATTAGTCATACTCAACCCAAAGTACAAACAAGATGTACTATAAACAAAATGCATTAAAAAAACAAAAACAAAAATACAAATGAGTGAAGAAAAACTATTAAGTTCCAAATAAAAAAGGAGCAAGTTAGATCTCAAGCTAATAACACCACCATCAACATATCAAAGAACACCAAATGAAAAAGAGAGAGAAACAAAAACAAAATAGACGCTCTAAATCGGTCAAAATCTCTATCCATTATTAAATCCAAAGGATAGAGTTTTTAAATCATTATGGGAAGGTGCAAAACTTTATGCTAATGTATCAAAAAATTATTTCCAAACCAAAAAAAAAATGTTTTTCCTCTTCTTCTTTCATGTTTGTCAGAGTATTAAAATAGACTGTATCATTCCCTTAACTTAATTTATCATAAATGACTAAATTGAGTAACATAATAGTTTTTTTTTCCTTTTCACACTCTGGTTTCTAGGAGAAAGGGGCCTAGTAATCCAAAACTCGTGTTCCTACACAGGAATTGAACTCAGTATTTCCCAAACTTTCGTTCCTTAGCTAGAGCTCATTTACCACTCGAACACAAGTACTTAGTTAACATAATAGTTTTTAAACGACTAAAAAGTTAACATTTATTAAATCAAGAAACAAGATAAAACCTTAAATTAAATTAAGAGAGTTCGAGACTAATTAAGCCAACATTAAAATGTTCAAATAATTGACATATACTACAGAATTGCATGTATTATAAGTGCATGCCTTGGCATTGGAAGAATTACTGCGATACCATCAAACAATAAAAATCTACTAAAAGAAATGGAGTTTCAAAGTATCAAATCAGACATTTTAGGATCAACAAAATTGCTTGTTCAGTACAAAGGAAGGCACAAAAATTCCTATTTATGGGTGTGGCAACTGGCACTAAGGTAATGTATATGATTATATTATAGTTTGAACTTAAATAGGCATTACACAACATTGCCCGCACACCATCCACTCACCCCCTTTTCATCATTTAGAGATGGAGAATTATAAATTATAACACTGTTTGTTGCATGGTCTTTCAAGAAATGCACTTCAAGAAATTTCACAGGTCAAAAACTTGTTCCAATTTGTTGTTGTAATAGGCTTAAAGATCCGGTTTAGTCGAGATAGAATCTTTTTGGGCCGGTGCTTCCTCCACTGCTTTTTCTGTCACTTGTTTTTTGGCAACTTTGTCAGGTTTAGTTGAGATAGAATCTCTTTTGGGTCGGTGCTTCCTCCACTTCTTTTTCTGCAAATCCGTCAACCAGGATGGAACTTCACAGCCTGAGGATGCCATTAGATTAGCTACGTTCTTCAAGAATGGAATATCCTCCTCTGTGTAAAATGTAATCGCTTCGCCACTCCTCCCTGCTCTGCCAGATCGACCTATTGAAATATTAACATTTATACTTAGCAAAAAATAGAATCAAATCATTATCAAAAATTTATGTATTGAAGAATATATAATAAAGAAAAGGCTCCATGACTGAATACTTCTCTAATCTTAAACAATGTTAGTTGTCGTGACACTCACCAATTCTGTGGATATATGCCGATGCAGAATCTGGGAAATCATAATTGATCACACAGTTAATGCCTTTAAAATCCATTCCTCGAGCAACCACGTCAGTGGCAATCAAAACCCATGTTTTACAAGCTCTGAAGTTGTCAACTGCATTTTCTCGCTGAATAGAATTCAAGAGATTAGAAAGATCACATCATAGTTATAGGCTACAGCTAAATTAACAAATATGCTTTCGTATTGGAGTACCTATTGCTGATGATCAGAGATTAAAAGTTAAAACAAAATTGAATATTAAAACAGGTTTGTCTCATTTAGTAATGATGAGCAGATTAGTCAAGTGCAAAAGCAATTGCACAAACAAGGAGTATTATAATTTGACATCTTCACCGTACAAATAGTATGGATCAGATATTGGTCATATACGTCATGGGTTTTCTTTTTTCTTTTTGCATTTCTTGGCTGAAGGGAAAAATGTTTGAGTGCCTTCATACTTTCCAACAAGAAGCTTATTTTGTTCAAAGGGATTGAGAACTACCTCTTCTTGAGACAAATCAGAATGGATGACGTCAACTCTAATATTTTCGAATGCAAGTTCACCATACAGCTCCTTGGCTCGCTCCTTGCTTTGGACAAAGATCAACACTGGAGGATTTAAACTCTTCGAGATATGGAAGGCAAAGCAAAACAAAACAAGAACAAAGTCAACTAATGCAAGCAACTGAATACATTAGGAATGAGCAAATAGGAGTGCTGCAGTACCATGTTCTTTCCACTAGCTTCAAAGGTAAATGTTATAATAACAAGTGTTCCAAGCCATTACATATTACACTCACAATACACTATTTAACACCAAACTGAAGTAAGGTAAATGCTAAATTATATGCATGCAGCGTACAATCAACAACAAAGCCTTATCTCACTATTTGGAGTGAGCTACAAGGATCAAACGTCATAATATTCTATCAAATATCATGTTTCTATCCAACTCATTAATCTCTTAATCTTTATTAATAGTTTCTCTTAACTAGGCAGATTAATAACAGGAAATACATGTTAATGATAAATTGTAATGAGAATTCTAATTACTTTTCAGTAAGTCCTACACTGACCAAGGTTAAGTTGAGAGACAAAACATATTGAAGCAGAAGAAAAACAAAATGACTAATAATGCCTTTTATCTAAAGCATTCATTTTAGTTTCATACCTCTGCAAAACTCTGCCGAATTGCTATAAGTTTTCCTTCTTCACTTCCAGTAAAAACCAGCTTCTGCTTAATTGTTTCAGAAGCCATATTCCTGATTCCCATAAAAGCATTAGATGTTATCTTTTACAATAATGTGAAGAGTTAAAGTAATGCACATGAGCATAATGTTCTATTGTAATTTTTGTATTGAACTTACTTCCTGCCAACGATTACCCGAACAGCATCATGCATAAGTTCTCGAGCTTTATCTTCAATAAAATCAGGTAAAGTAGCACTGAACAGAGAGCGTACTATTGAGGGATTTGTGCACGCTTTAATAATAACATCAATCTGCTTGAACATTCCAGGCTCAAATAGCTTATCAGACTCATCAAGGACAAGATACTCAACTCTGCAGCAACCAAAAGAGTTGAAAGAAAAAAATATCAACACAACTATTTGGTATTCACATTAAATGTCTAGTGTTTACTACTACTGCCTTTGCAGACAAAATGTAGAATACAGCTAAAAGCAGCATGCAAAATTTTAAAATGCATGAACCATTTAAGTAGTTAAGATTTTACATTACAACAACCGAGACAAACTGCAATTAGATCATGCCATTATTTGTTGTCCGTACCCAATCAAATTTATCATTAAATAACATAACAGCCAACTGAGAGGCAAACAAACACTGAATTTGTTTTACCAATATACAATAGATATTTGATTCTCCCATCTTATATGAAAGCATAATCTTTAGAAATAATTGTGCTGCTGAACGTGTGTTTGTTTTCATGTTCAACGGGCTCCAGTTTTATCGATGGCAGATGGATGGAAGACCATGGCAGAAAGCCAAAAGTGCACCATAAAAGGTCATGGCACCACCATTCTTCACAAATTGGCCATGACAATTGTCGAAAAATCCCCCACTGCAATCCGCCATGGCGCCAACATGGCAGATATTTGACAACAATAATGAACTCCAACCGATTATTCATATGGATTTAGCAATTGCTTGCTTCTCAATGAACACTTTGGAATGTGTTTAGACATAATTACTTTCTCCTGGGGTGGTAAAATTTGAAACAGCTTAGCTTTCCATGTTGGGTTTATGGTTTGAGTCAACTGAATGATCAACTAGTTTTACTCGTGTCTACTTCATTAATTCCACAGGGTCAGATAAAAAGAAAGGAAAACGCAAATAGTTACAAGTATCCAATTGCGCATACTAGTTTGAATGGATTCAACATTAACAAGCTGCGACTACAATGACTGTAGTTTGCATACAATCAAAATTAGAAAAAAGGCAGGTCTATTGATGTTGATCTTTGGATATGACCTTCAACCCTTCATTATAACTATAAATGTTTCAGACTTGAACTCGATAACAAAATCAATGAATTTTATTTTGATATTACCATAGGCAGCACATAATCCATTTCTTATTAAAGCATAAACCCACATAAGAAGCAGCAAAAAGAATTTAGAATACAAGGAAAAATGTTCCTCGATGTTATTGTATTTTAGCAGAAGGAATGAGGAATGACGGCAAAAAGAATGTACCAACCCAGGAGATAGTTTCACAATTTAGTATGCAATTGATCGAGAAAGGACAAAGCAAAGTATAGCTCAATATGAGATATTTAAACTACAGCATAAGTGACATAGAGGGAGCAGCTATAGACCATCACCACAGGAATTTAAGGTTATCCTTATGGACTAAAATACATGTAATGATTACTTGATTATTTTTTAGAGAGTAGTAAGGTTGAATCAATAAGCCAAACTTTTTTATTATTACACACCTGCTGAGATCAAGCTTTTTCCTCTGGGTAGCCAAGCGTAATCGAAAGGGCGTGGATATAAGAATGTCACAAGGAAATTTTGAAAAATCTGAACCTTGTAAAAGATGTTTTGTCATTAACTTGATACGAAACTTTTCCCCTTTGGCAAACTTTTTGCATTCACGGTATGTTTGACCAGATAATTCACGACTATGGCAGATGATAACAGCTCGAACGCCACCTTTTGAATGAGCCTATAAACACATTTGATTATTGGAACCCATGACATGGGATGTTGGAAGCAAAAGATAGCTGGACAAAATATAAGCAATACCTTGAGCTTCATGAGCATGGGACACACAAATGCAAGGGTTTTTCCAGAGCCGGTTGGGGCACAGGCAAAGCATTCACGATCCTATCTCATATTAGGGAAGAAAAATATCAGTAAAAACAATATTGTGATAATATCTCTCTTGCAAACAATATCAAGCTTGCATGAATCAAAACCAAGATCAAACTACATCAATGATTTTCAGAAGAACATAATGTCCAATGTGATCCATACCTGTAAGAGTACTGGAATAGCCTGCTGTTGGATTGGTGTTGGTTCTCTGAATCCATGTTCTGCCAGATTCCGCAATAAATAGGATGGACATTTATAACTATAATAAACAGTTCATTTTAAGATTCTGAACTATCAATGCCATGTTCATGTAAATATATAATAATAATAATAAAAATAATAATAGGCAGAATATGTAACAACCAGATTCCAGAATAATAATATTAACAGAAAAATAACCTTGTTTTCAACTCATCAAAGCTTTGAAGTGGGGACGGCACATTGTAACCGGAGACATGAATGTTATGACTCTTCCTGAAGATAGCATCACGCTAAAAAGAGATGAAAAATAAAAGTGAATGGTGGGAAAATCATTGAACAAACTTAAGAACGCGGAGAGTTCTGTATATTGCACAAAACATAAAGGGCCTAAACCTCGAGTTGTTTATTTTTTTCTTTCTTCAGACGAATAGACTCATCATCACCGGCTTGGACTTTTTCATTTGTCTTCGATGTTGAACTTCGGAACACACTGAATCCACCAACAGCTTCTTTTATTTGCTCATAGAAACAAAGCAAAAGTGAGATAAAGAACAATTAATACAAGTGATGATGACATAGAATGTTAAAACATGAGAATGAGAATACCAGAAGAGGTTTTCTTTCGCTTCCTTTTCTTTGAAGACACAGCTTCTATTGTTTCCTTGATTTCTTCATCTTCTGTCACACTCTGAATCTTCGCCGAACTAGTATCGGCAGTTTTTTTCTTTTTCAAAAAATAATAATTATCAGTGTCTCGCATAGATTAAGAAATGAAATAGGTAAGCATTGGATTTTTATATTGGTTATAGCCCATTCTTACAATCCAACTTTTAAGGTGAGAGATGTCACTCTTTACAAACTCATTTCAAACATTATCTTTATTTTATGTGGGACTAGGGTTTTTACCAATACACTCCCCCACGAGTCACGCCAAAAACTATAGAGCTTGATGCATGGATTAAATGGCAGGTGGCCCAAATATAGGCTCTAATACCATATTAAGTTTATATATTGGGTTTAACTCATCCTAACAAAACCGACTAGTAACGTAGGGGGTGTCACTCTTTATATACATGTTTCAGACTCTATCTTTATTATGCGGGACTTGGGTTTTTCTCAATAGCAAGAGAGTGACTATATTTTATCAAGTCTTTCCGCAGAAACACGATTGAAACCATCTCTCTCGCACGACTTACTTTTAAAAAACTAAAAGGTTAAAAAAAACATCTGAAATCTTACAAAACAGAAGTCTGTCTCTTTGTGAACCTGTATCTTTCAGACCATGCAGAGAAGATTCATTCCATTACATGTTTCATTTGATTTCTTTGTTCAGGTGTGTTTTCTTTTTTGTTAGCTCTAGTATCTGCTCTAATGGACATTATATTAAGAATATAGTGTGTAGTATCATCATTTTCATGAATCACGAACTTGATTATATAATCAAAGTGCTCCTTTAAAGACTATCAAAATTGTTAAAAATAGTCTTATCAAAAATTCTTGTATGCCATAAAGACGCTTTCTCAGTATCTACGGTTTATCAAACATGTTAGTAGCTGTTGTTAAGTTCTATATGCATACAAATATCACGTTTAAACTCAGAAGCTACAAATTCTAGTTTCAAGTAGAATAAATTCTAGAGGCAGAATCAATTCTACTTTAGAAGAACCAAACACCTCTGAATCATTCTAAAATCAATTCTACACCTTTAGAATTGCTTTTGCCTCTTCCAAAAATCTGTTCCACTTTCTTAGATTCACTTTCAGCGGCGTTTAGTTAAAGAGAAATTGAAATGGTACCTGAAACCTGGCAATATCTGCGCCGAATTTCTTTCTATCAAAACGGATGCCGGCGAACAAAGAGTCGTTGGCCATGGTGATGGTACAGTCAGTAAAGCAGGTAGGGTTTATATGAGAGCTTGCAGTTGCCACCGTTCGTTAACCTGCTGCGGCGGGGACCCGAGCAATTTCCCTTGCAACGATTTTCACTTCTACACTACTACTTTTTTTTTGTGACAATAACTCTTATTTGTTGGGCCTCATGTCCCCGTTAAGAAAAGGACTTGCTTTTAGGAGACGCGAAATTCATTTTTACACCACCTTTTAGGTTTTTATTGTTTTCTTCTAGAGTAAACCTCTATATTTTAGAGGATGATTGAGAAACTTCAAATATAATTCAGGGGTGTAATTTTGTTTATAGAAAAAAGGTGTTCCCAATTTTAATATTTGGAATAGTGAGTATTCAAAATACTTTATGATCATATGGAAATTAGTTTTATAATCTAGGATTAATAGTTAATTTAGGTCAAACTTTAACAATAGTGGGCATTCAAAATACTTTAGAATTAATATTCAAACTATTGTATATTAAATATTTACAATAAATTATTAATATAAAATTGAAATATTTACAGTATATTTAGTATTGAATTTGAATTGAAATATCAAAATATACAATAGTTTAAAAAAGACAAAATAACTTTTTGGTCCCTTAACTTTAATTTGGAGTCCATGTTGGTCTCTTATCTTTAAAAAGTGGTAACTTGTCCTTTAACTTTTAAAATGGTGTCACTTTTATCCTTCTGTGTGTTGTCGTTAGTTTGTTTTTGAAAAAATTGCCACGTTTGTCCAGGTGGAGTGCTGACGTGGAAGTGAAGTGTCTTAGAGGAAGAAGAGGGAACGATTCAAGCTTTCATTATCCACCATTACCCAGAAGAAGAAGGCACGATTCAAGAGCAGACGATTGAAGATTGAAGACGATTCAAGAAGAAGACGATTGAAGATTGATGACGATTCAAGAAGAAGACGATTGAAGATTGAAGACGATTCAAGAAGAAGACGTGGTTTTTTTTATTGAGGATTGAAGACAATTCAAGAGCCATAATCAAAAGGTTAGTTCATTTCTCTCTGATTTAAGGTTTTCAGGTAGAGGTTCAGATTTAGGGTTTATATAAATTTGTTAGTGTAAACGTTAATTACTTACATGATATGATTAGGTTATCATGGATGAATACATAACTCTGAAAATTCATCACAGTGGTGAGTTCACAGATGAAGGTCGTAGTGTATATGAGAATGAAGTAGTAGATGATTTGAGGGTAGATGTAGACAGATGGAGTTATTTTGAGCTAGTTGGTGTATTGAAAGACTTAGGTTATAGGGAGTTTGAAACAATATTTTACAAAGACCCTTAATTTGGGATGAACCCACTTGTTGATGACAATGGTGCTTTAGAAATTGCAGATCTGTATAGGGTGCACCAAAATGTTGATATTTATATTGAATATACATTGTCTCAACCTGACTATTGTGATGTTGTTGATGAAGTTGATGAGGACCCTGCTGAAATTGTAGATGAGGTAGAGGAGTTACTTAGTAAACTACATGAAGAAGTTGTGGAAGTTGAACAAACCACTGTTGGTTTGGAGGAAGGTGATGTTAGGGTCGATGAAGCCAATGTTGGGTTGGAGGAAGGTGAAGTTAGAGTTGATGAAGTCACTGCTGTCATAGAGGAAGGGAATCTTGCAGGGGATGTTAGAGTTGATGAGGATCCTGCAGTGGATGTGTTGCACCCTAAAATTTGTCCACCGGTTTTCCGACTTTGACTGGCTTTTGCTTCGTATTTTCATCTGCATATCATTTAGGTCGCATTTTGCCCGTGTTATCAGCTGGATTGAATTTATCAGAATTTTAGCCGCTTTGCTCGCGTTTCAGGCGATTCAAATTAATTCAAACGAGAAATTCAGTGTCGAAATCGAGCGAAAGTCGCTCTCTTTTTTATGATTCAATTCGTGTCGATAATATCGGTGCATTTCAGTGCTCGCCTGTTTTCCATGGCATTTTTTTTTGCATTTTTATTGCTCTTTTCGTCTTATTTAATTATTTAGAATAGTTTTTGTTTCATTTTTATTTATTTAGAAATATTTTAAATAGAAATAGATGTTTATTTTATAATATAGTTTTTATTGGTTAGATTTTTATTAATTTTAGAATATAGTTTAATTTAATTTTATTAGGGTTTTTATATAATTTCTAGAATTTAACCTTTTAATTGTTTTTATTAAATAGAAATCTTTTTAGAAATAGTTAAATGAATTTCATATTGCTTTTTTTTAAATAGTTAGATAATAGTTTTTTTAAATAGATTTTATTAGGTTTTTTAATTAGAATTATTATTAATTAGTTAATTAAGTTTTAGTTTATATTATTTAGTTTAGATTTGTTTTAGTTATAATTAGGAGTTAATTAGTGCAGTTTATTTATCAGCAAATTAATTAAATTAATCAAACCAAAAACAACTGCAAGGCACGTGTCATTTCTGTATATATAGTGCACTGTTTATTTTCTTCTTTCTTGGAGACAGATCCCTACAAACCCTACCAGCCGCCATCCTCCACTATTCACTCTCTTCTCCCCTTCACCGGAAAATCGACTCCGCCACCAAAACCAATCCACAACTCCACAAACCGAAAACCCAGCAACTATCTTCCAAACCACCATGAGAAATCTCCGCTAAAAATCATCATCACCATGGTTCTCAACTCTCTTTCAAAACAACCATAAAAATCTCACAACCAACAACAAGTTCTGGTGCCGGTGCCGCGACGGTAACGATTTTGCATCAACAACATAACTCAGCTCGCTTCCTACATATGAATGATACTTCCAACAACTATTCAACAGTGGTAACGAGCTTTTTGTTGCGTTTTGGGTTTGTTGGTTTTATTTTTGCTTTGTTTTCGATTTGGTTTACATTGCGTAAATTATGTTTTGATTATTTTGGTTAATGTGTTGATTTCTGATTTTTTGACTTGATTTTGAGATAGATTATTATATTGTTGCTGTTGTTGTTGGACCTTTAACTGCAAAATAAATTTGGTCTGTTATGATTCTTTCAATTTACATTTGAGAAGATGAACAGTGTTTTTTTTTACATTGGAACACGTTTAGCTTAAGAAAGAGACAAGTAATTGTTGTTCAAAACATTATTCTTCTTTTCTTTTCCACTGCGGTTACTGTACTCATGAGTAGCATTTTTTTTGGTGTGTTGATTAATTGCTGATTAAGTCAAACCATATTCATTGCTAGTTAATACTCATTTTCTGTTATTTATTTTTGTTTCAGTAAAGTGATAATTTAATAATGTATATTATTTCAATTGATGTTCAGTATGTATAATAGAATTTTTCTTTTTTACTTTAGATAAAATATTAGGATGTAGTTTTTTATGAAAGTAGAAAAGAAAATATAGTATACTTCATGAAACAATTTGGGAATGACGGCGTCCTGTAGTAGTACCGGTTATTAATTGTATATATTTCAATGTATATTACAACTATTAGATTTTACTTTCACATTATTTTGGCATTGAATTTAAACCACAATAGTTATTAAGATAATAATGGATTATTTGAATGTTTACAATTTGTTAAGTTTAGGTTCTCTCTTCACGTTTTTATACCACATCAATAATAATGTTACTGATAAAATTTAATTGAATTTTTCTTATGTACATTATACCCATCCACCATTATTAATTTAATATGATATAAGCAATTGTAAAAACTTTGTGAATAATTTTGAACTTGATAAATTTTCGTAACTAATTTTGCGGTGGATAATTTTGTAAATAGTTTCTTTTTTTAATTTAGTTTTTTTTTTAAATTTTAATGTATCTTTTCTAAAGTTAGATTTTGGTCTTTTATTTGAGGATTTATTTCCGTATTTCCTCTTTTTAGGTCGATGACGAGACCTCCGTAAATCGGTTACTAAGTCAATATATTGATAAGTATCGTTGGATCCGAGACCACCTCTTTTCTCTCCTCGCTTCTTGTCCCAACTCGATTCAAAAACATTGACAAACCATCTTCAAAATCCATTTATCTTTGTATTGAATTAAAAAGAGGGGATTAAGTGTAGACTTTTTTCCTCTCCGAGTGTTGGGATGCCCACTGTAGTGAGGGTGGTCTTGATATTCGTCTTTCAATACGAAGACGCGACTTTATCCACCATCTCGCTTTCACAACTTCCTTCCACAATTTTCACACCTAAAACCTCGGTCCCGCACCGAGTGCATTTCAAATCATTTTCACATTAAAACTTGAATGGTCGTGGAGTGGTTAGGCGTAGGCCTTCTCCTATCCCGAGTGCTGACGTTTACCGTAGGGTTCTCTGTCGCAAAGCACTTACCATTCAAAACCAAAAACATCTTTAATAAGAGAACGAGGTTCTCTTTGCATTGAATTAAAGAGAGAGGATTGGGTGTAGACCTCTTCTTCTCCGAGCGTAGGGATGCCCACTGTAGTGAGGGTGGTTTCGACGCTCGTCTTTCAATACGAAAACGCCTCGTTCGCCACACCCTTTTATAACAAAAACTTTGAGACAATGAATTGGGTACTACCCGTAGGGGTTACTATCCGAGGACCTGTCTCGCCCCCTAAAAACAATCCAACCAATCAAACGTGACACCTTGCCTCGCATGGCGAAAACCAGTCTCCCAAAGGATATGTTACGTCCGTTCTACCGCAAACAGGTACGCATAAGTCTCCAAACGAGCGAGCAGCAAAACACCTAAACTGCTAGAACGCGCACGATAACATCATCCACAAAAACACCAGTTACCCGTAGTAGCACGAACTACGTTGCTCTGATTTCTCTTGCATGTTGAGAATACGTAGGCATAGGATTGCGATATCCTAGCGAGCACCCTTTTTTCTTTTTCACCCTTTCCTAGAAAGGCATGCTACGTCCGTTCTACCGCAAACAGGTAACGCCTAAGTCTCCAACGAGCGAGCAGCAATACACCTAAACTGCTAGAATGCGTACGATAGTAGCGTCTACCAAAACCCACCCGTAAACCGTAGGCCGAACTACGG